CATTTACAAACTGGACTCTATCATATAGATATGATTTAAACTATTTTAGAGCTGTTCCTGTAATCCCAATATCATATTCAAGCCTCTGTAGTAAAATATTGTGATCAACTGTATCAAATGCAGCACTGAGGTCTAACAGGACCAGTATAGACACAAGTCCATTGTCTGAGGCCATGAGAATATCATTAGTGACTTTTACTAGTGATGTTTCTGTGCTATGATGAGCTCTAAACCCTGACTGAAACTCCTCAAACAGATTATTTCTTTGTAGATGTTCACGCAACTGACCTGCAACTAGTTTCTCTAGAATTATTTTAGATGAAAGTTAGATTAGATATAGGTCTATAGTTGGCCAGAATTTCTGAATCAAGGTCAGACTTCTTAAGTAAAGGTTTAATTACAGCAACCTTAAAGAGCTCTGGTACATAACCATTCATTAAAGAAAAATTAAGTAGATCCAAATTGTGGACATTAATTAGGGGAAATACCTCTTTAAACAGTCTGGTTAGGATGGGATCTATCAGACATGTGGATGGTTTGGATGAGGTTATTATTTTTGACAATTCAGAGAGCTCAACAGGACAAAAACTGTCCAAACATAAATCAGGCTCTAGTGAAATTTTTAAGTATAGTATAGTATAGTATAGTATAGTATAGTATAGTATAGTATAGTATAGTATAGTATAGTATAGTATAGTATAGTATAGTATAGTATAGTATAGTATAGGTTATTATATTTCAAAATCCATTATTTTGAACATCAAATAATCAAATCAATTATTTTCAGACAGTATTTGTCACAAAGTAGTGGTTACATTACTTGGTTAGAAATAGTGAACATTTGTTAACTGCATTTTATATTTGTATTCTTTAGTTTTTTTTTATCAACTCCAAACCATCTTTACTGTCAGAGTGATTCATCACAGTTTTGGAAATTAGGTCAGAAACATTATGATCGCGGTGGGGCACTGTAGGGTATTTTCTGATTTCTTCCCATAATATAATATAATATTTATGCCTGAAGTGTATAAATATAACAGCTACAAAACGCTGAATGACTGTTCTGAGACACAGTTTTCCAAAGCTAGAATTTAGGCTCAGATTTAAATAAAACATAATAAGTGAAAAATGTAACATAAACTGATGGATGTGTTATTTGTCAGGGTGCTCTTACAAAACCTTGTATTGATATGAAGAGAAAAAGTCATGCATCACTTAGGTTTACCTCTAAGACTGATCTTTTTAATGAACAGTTTGTCTGTGCTGCTTTAATCACATGTTGTAACACGTGTCTGTGTGCTGTCACTTGTTTTCTTTTGGTATAAGCAGCTTCACATGGGCTCACAGCCACCACGCAGCTCAGCATGATGTTATCCATTACTGCTAAATTAACTGTGGGGTCACAGATACAAGATGACAGCAAACAAAGAGATCCATTGATCAAGAAAGAAAATTACGCTTTATTTTTTGACTCAAAATATCTGCAGAGTTTAAGTAGAATTTGGATGGACGGCTAGAAATACGGTTATCTTTTGTCAACATTTCAGTTGTACTTTTTGTTGGATTCTAAAATTACATTTATAGAATAATGAGGATTATATCTGGATTATGAAGATGACACATAGATTATTAAGGACTTCAAACATCCATCCGTTATCTTTTACCCGCTTCTTCCATTTTGGGTCACCGGGGTCGCCGGTGTCCATGTCCAGCAATCACTGTGCGAGGGGCGGGGGACACCCTGGACAGGTCTCCAGTCCATCACAGGGACACAAGGAGACAAATGAGACAAACAGCCATTCACTCTCTCACTCACACCTAGAGACAATTTAGAGTTACCAATCAGCCTAACATGCATGTTTTTGGTCTGTGGGAGGAAACTGGAGTACACTGAGAAAATCCATGCATGCACAGAGAGAACATGCAAACTCCACCCAGAAATGTGCCGGCTGGGATTTGAGCTTAATGCCCTCTCTGGACTAAACATGTAACTTAATACATATTTATTTGGTTAATTCTGTTTAGTTTTTGTTTGGATTTAATTTAATTTAATATGTAAGTTTAATTTAGATTTTATTTTATTATATTAAACAAAACCAATAATAAAAAAAAACTCTGCAAAACTAATGACAATTTGTCCTGATGCATGCTCAATAATCCAGGTAGAAAAATCTAAAAAAGTTCAATCTGGTCCTCTGGACATTCAAAAAAAAAAAAAAAAAAAAGTAAAACAACAAAAAAATGTAGAAACGTTTCCTCTTTCATCCGAGAGACTTCCTCAGTCTGAGGAGCTGTATTCAGCTCAGTCTCTTAAATAGCACCTTCTCAGAGTGGATCAACCAGTTTTGCTGCTGACAACCAAAACCAGCTGATCACATGCTCAAGAAGGACCATCAGCCTAACAATGGATCATTAGCACACTGATGGCTGTTTACTATTCACAGAGGGCTGAGTGATATTAGCAATCACAGCATTGTAAGAGGGGGACAGTTGAACCCGGAGGCCTCCACCCCTGTTTAATGATGGACGGTTTCTTTTCACAAAGATGGCCTCCTTTACTCCTCTCTCAAACCATCGTTCCTCTCTGTCCAGAATGTGAACATCTTCATCCCTGAAAGAGTGACCGCTGGCCTGCATGGAGATGAGTGTAGACCGCAGAGTCCTGGCCTGATGATGTTGATCTTCTGTGCTGGTCCATCCTTTTGGCCAGTGGCTGTTT